CCCCCCCCGCGAGGGGAATCTACTCAGAGAAGTTGGGATCTAGGTACCCCATAACCCAGCCCTGGAGGCCCAAGGGGCAGTGCAGAGGTGTCTAGAAGACAGCCTAGTCTTTGGAGGTTAGTGAGGGAAACAGCAAGCCACAAGCCTCATCAACTAACTCCTTCCCTTGGGCAGGTTCTGAGTATTTCTTAGAAGGAGAGTCAAGGAAGCAGACTTTTCCTGACCAGTCATTGCACCTTTGCTTGGCTCTCTGACTCTCTCTTTGCTGGGAAGAGACATGCCCGGCTTGTGACCTCTGTCTGGCCTCATTCCAGTAACAGCTGGCTCCCCATCCGCCTTGATTTTCTCATCGGGATTCTCATTTTTAAAGATGTCTGGGAAGGGAATCTCTGCAAGTCTTCAGTGCTAGTCGGTTCTAACGCAAGGTTGTCCTCTTGCCTGGGACCTGAGGGTTCTCTAACCTCTCTTTGAACTGTAGCAGCACCTCTGTCCTTCATTCTGGCAGGGGAATTGATATCAAATGGCTTGAGGATGATGAGGCAGGCAGCCTTGTGTGAGCAGAGGCAGGGGTTAGAAGCAACCAGGAAGCAGATAGGAGTGAGGAATCTTTTTAACAGGCTCATGTGGTTCTTGGCTCCACAAAAGACTTTGCCTCTGGTCGTCAGGCCCCACCAGCCCAAAAGACTCACACATGCAGGACCTGTATTTAGTGATGCATGTTTGAAACCTAGTACTTACTGAATTCCTAAGTAACACATATATTCTGGTCTTTTAAACTCTTCACATCTACTGTAAAGTAGATGCTATTTTTGTGTTAGGGATGAAGAAACTGAGGAATGATATGCCCCCAAAAAAGGTAACTTGGAAAGAGCTAGCCCAGGTTCCTGGTATACACCCTCCTATCTCTTCCCTATCATGGTGGGGCCTAGGACAAAAGGGGAAGGACTGAATTTTGAGCTTTAGACCTATATGCCCACCCTCCTCCTCTACAGCCAGAAGACTCTTTTATGGAGGGAACACAAAGGAAAATCACTGTGCTGTGTTAATGAACAGAAAGCTGGGATGGTATGGGAAAGAAAAAGCCGCAGGAAAGATCATCTCTAAGATGGCTTTGAAAGCACATCAGTCTTGCGGCACGGCTGTGTTGGGTACCACACAAGTCAGGTATTCCAAATAGGGCCCTGCCCTGGGAAGCCTGTCATCCCAGAAGCAAGGATATTAAGATACAGAACACAGAAGCCAGTACTTAATGCTGGCAGGCAGGTAAGAGGAATGACCTTGTAAGAATCCGGTCACCTTTCTCTTCCTAATCTCCTCTCCTGCACAAAATGGGGACTGGACCAGATGTGTAGTGAGGCCCTGGCAACTCCAGCAGGCCTTGTAGGGTGGTCTTGCCTGCAAACAGACTCACACTTGGTTGCTGTGCGTGGGATCTATTCCAGACACATTTACAAACTCATAATTGGTGAAATATGATAAACCTAACACTGTAGGGATTTCTAAACAAGGAATTAAAAAACTGGACTCCAAATGGGAAAAATGCATGCAACAAATCGTTTTTGTGACTCTGAAGAGCTTTAATTTCTTTTGGAAGGAGCTGACAGCTGGCTGACAGAAAACTCAACCAGGGAGAGAAGAGACAAAAATGAAGTATGAAATCAGGAATAATGTTTTCAGGTAACTTTCTATTTCCATGTGGAGTGGGTGTCTGAGAGGGTGAGTGTAGCTATGGTTTGAATTGCTTCATTTACCAACAGACTTTTCCTAGGGCTCCTAATTCTAAGATGCAGTGCTTTGCTCCTGTTTTTCAGTCTCCTGGTAGCAGGATAGTAAGCTAGGACTCCTAGCATTCAGCCCAGACTCTGCCTTTATCCTCATCTGTTGCCTCTGTTGTCTGACGCCTTTCTGATCAATTTGTGCAGAGAATCAGTCTTTGTTCTTTTGCCCAGAAAACTGGTTGTCAGCTACTTGGGGTGGGGGTGGCACCTGGAAGTCCAGGCACTCTTCAGACTTTCAACCATCCTCTTGTTTTCAGCCCTGTGTCTCATTGCCACTTTACGTGATGCCTGGGACTACCGAGTGCCAAAGTTCCTGGGTCTTCACGTGACTGGCTTTTCATGGTACAGCATTCAACCACCCTGCCAGCTCTCTTCTCTTTGCACAGCTTATTTGAAATTGTTCATCTAATAATATCGTTCCTTCAATTTTCTTTGTTCTTGAGAATAGATACTTTTAAATCTTTTACAAAAATCACTAAATAGGGCGGGTGTGGTGGTGCATGCCTTTAATCCCAGCGCTCTGGAGGCAGAGGCAGGCAGATCTCTGTGAGTTCAAGGCCTGCCTGGTCTACATATCGAGTTCCAGGCCAGCTGGGGCTACAGGGAGACCCTGTTTCAAAAAAGCCCCGCCGCCCAAAATCACTAAATAACTAAAATTTGAGTGGAAGTGGAGTCTTGTCAGCAGAGAATGGCAGAGAAAGAATGTTGCAAATACCCAGTGTGAAATAACCAAAGTTGAAGACATTCTAGTTTTAAAATAAAGAACAATTTATGCACTGTTAATACTTCAGATCTTCTAACAGTTTTGAAATCGTGGTAGGAGAAAAGCCTAAGGAAAATCCACATAAAGAAGGTGTTTCTTCCATTCTTTACTTATTAGAGCCCACTCAGTTTGACAAAATATTACTTACAGAGTAAAAAGAAAATCATTTCCAACATTTTATCTCTATTTTTAATTAATTTAATTATTGCATTTTTGGTGTGTATATGTGTGTTCAAGTGTATGTGTATGTGTGTGGATGACAGAGGACAACCTTGGGTGTCCTCCTCAGACACTGTCTACTTTTTTTGTGTGGTATGTTTGTGTAGTGTGTGTGCTGTATGCTTGTTTGCAGGCACACATATATGTTGGGTTCATGTGTACCTGAGCATGTGCATGCAGGCCAGAGGTTGAGGTAGGAGTCTTCCTTGCTCACGCTCTATCTTATATATTGGGGCAGGGTCTCCCCCTTGGATTTAGAGCTCACTAATTCAGCTACTAGCCAGCTTGCTCTGGGGATCCTGTCTCTGCCTCCCATAAGCTGGAATTACAGGCTGGCAACAATGCCCTCCCAACATTATGAGACTGCTGAGAATCTGAACTCTGGTACTCATGCTTACATAGGAAGCCCTTTACTCAATGAGCCATCCCTCTAGTCCCTACCTTAAAAGTAAAACAAAACCAAAAAACCCAACCAAACAAACAAACAAAAAACCCCATGGCTTCTGAGTAGCTGGGAACCTGCCAAGTAGACTAGGCCGGCTGCTCAGTGAACCTCAAGTATCCACCTATTTTGGCTTCTCCAGGACTGAGGTTATAAGCATGCACTACTATGCCCACAAGACAAGCACTTTAGCAACTAAACTACCCCTCCAGCTATTATTTTAAAAGGCTTTGAATTTGAGATATGATAAAAAAATAAGGTTAAATTCTGAGATTCTTTCCTTTCTTTCTTTCTTTTTTCTTTTCTTTTCTTTCTTTTTTGGTCCTTTTGAGAGAGGATCTCCCTGTAGACCCAGCTGGCCTGGATGGAACTCACTATGTAGACCAGGCTGGTCTTGAACTCACAGACATCTGCCTGCCTCTGCCTCCAGAGTGCGGGGATTAAAGGTGTGCCCTACCATGGCTGGCTAAATTCTGAGATAAAACTCTTAAGGAAGAAGAATGCATCAAGTAGAAGGCACAGCAGGAAAGCTGCCTTCTAGTGCCATCTGATTTCAGTTCTACGGCCACACACAATGAATGTTGTAAGATTATCACTCTGTGGCTGAGGAAGCTAAAACTCAAAGAGGCTGAGGCTTGACCAGGGGATATAGCTAGCATATAGGAAAATCAGGAAATCTGGGTCTGTCTCATCCGGAACTTGTCCCAATTGAACTGTTATCTGCAAGGAAGGTATAAATGAACCAAGGAAGTGTCCACAGAAGCTGGGATAACAAAGAGACTGACTGAATGTTAATATTATATCAGCCCCGGGTTTTCAGTCAGGGTGCTTCTCACAGAAGGAAAGAAGTGGTTTCATAAAACACTCAGAAAAGTAAGTTAGACCTAATTGTCAAAATTTATGATAGACAAATGGATCTGGCAAGATAAAACACCTGAAAGAGGATAGAGGCCTAAAAATGGGATTTGTCTTGTAAGGTGCTGACTATAAAATGACTCTGGGAACCTAAACCTCTAACCTTTGGAGAATAAAGTATCTGACAACTTTTTCTAAAAAAAAAAAAAAAAATGAATGTTTAAGTGATATCAGAATTGTCTACTAAATATTAAAATGTGAACAAACTTTGGGGTTGGAGAGATAGCTCAGAGGTTAAGAACATTGGCTGTTCTTGCAGAAGACCCTGGTTTGAATCCCAGCACCCACATGGCAGCTAACAACTGTCCGTAACTCCAGTTCCAGGGGCTCCAACAACCTCATCTGTCCTCTGCGGCCATTGCATGACACAGGTGCACTTATCTACATGCAGGCAATACACACATACACATAAAATAAAAATAATCAATAAAATATTTTTAATGTGAACAAACCTCAAAAATCTTCATGGCTGGGTATGGTGGCACATGCTTACAGTCTTTGCTATTCAGCAGACTGAGACAGAAGCTAGAGCCCAGAAATTCAGGGCCAGTCTGAGACTCTGTTTCTTAAAAACTTAAAGACTAAGGGGCTTGTTCAGTCAATAAGGTACATGCCATGTAAATGTATGGACCTGAGTTTGATCCCTTTTGTCCATGTTTAAAACAACAACAAAACAAACAAACAAACAAACAAACAAAAAAACCCAATCATAATGGCACTTGCTTATAAAGTCAGTACTTGGGGGGCAGAGACAAGCAGATCGATGGTCTTACCAGCCAGCTAGCTAGCCTAATCATAGAACTCTAAGTCACAGTGACTCTGCTTCAAATAACAAAGTGGACAGCTCCTGGAGAACACTTGAGCTTGACCTCTGGCCTCCACGTGCACCTGCACACACTGTACATGCACCCACATACAAACATGCACCCTCCACACAAAATAATGATTCAAAAATAAAATTCATAGGGCTGGAGAGATGGCTTAGCAATTAAGAGTACTGGCTGCTCTTGCAGAGGACCCAGGTTCAAATCCCAGTACCTACATGGAGACTAACAACCATCTGTAACTCCAGTTCCAGGAAATCCAACGCCTTCTTCTTTCCTCCTCGGGTACTACATAACACAGGTGCTTTTAGGTACATGCAGGCATAACACCCATACACATAAAATAAAAATAAATTTAAAAAAAAAAAGAAAAAGAAAATTAATTCCTCCTGGAGTTTTTTTTCACTAAGTTACCTCCTGGCCTCTGGAGAAGCCTGCCATCATAAAGGAGGCTGCTAGTTGGTGCCACTGCTCAGCTTCTCTGAGACCCTGCAACTCGCAACATCCCCCTTTCCATTGGACCAAGAAGGGACCACTGCCCTTTCCAAATATCACAATCTGTAGTATATTGCCAATTTCCTTCTTCTCCAAGCCTCCTGACCCTAATCTTGATGAGAGAAATGTTGTGACTAGAAGTGTTCAGAGCTAGTGTTGTAGAGAAGGACTTTACATAATGGTGGGCGGGGGGGGGGAACACCTAAAATATTTCCAAATAGGTTATCACACGTCAAAACAGTGGAGAGAACAAACAAGGTTGTCCAAATACTAGAAATCATGTGAGAGTATAATTTTGAAATATAGTACATAGAGGTCTGGGAAGATGGCTCAGTGGTGAAGAGCATGTACTGCTCTTGCAGAGGACCTGAGTTCACTTCCCAGCTCCCATATCTGGTTGACTCAAAACTACCTGTAACTATAGCTCCTAGGAATCAGACATCCTCTTTGGGTCTCCAAGGGCAACTGTGCATATCTCCTCCAAGATAGATACATGCATACACATGGTTATAAATAAAAATAATTCTTAAAAAGAAAGAAATATAGTATATGGTAACTTGCTCTTATTTGAGTATCTGTTTCTCAAATGTAACTTGCTTTGTTTTATTTTTATTTTTATGTTTTTGTTTGTCTGAGATAGGATCTCCTTGTAGCCCCAGCTGGCCTTGATCTCACAGAGATCTCCTGCCTCTGTCTCTCAAGTGCTGGGATCAAAGGCCTGTATACAGGCATGAGCCACCATACTGGATTCAAATGTAACTTTCATTCAAGGCTTTTTAAACTTGTTTGGTTTTTTGTGATTGATACTGTGTCATTCCTTAGATTGAGGTTACTAAGTGGTTTCTTCTATATTTGATCCTATGTTCCAATGCCTCCAAATTTCTTTGCTACATTAAATCCATTTGTATATGAAAAACACCAAGACAAGATTTCTTTAGTGATCTTTTGTTTCATATAAACTCTTTCAAATGTTTTGCTTCCAGAATAGACCTCTGAGTTGGATACCATACTACCAAAAGATTCTTAATTCCTGCATCCAAAGTTCCAGGTATGTTTTTGCTTCTGGAAAAGCGTTTATAGAAGTGACAATGGGTACACAAAATCAAGACATTCACTTTCATTCAGTTTATGCACCTACTCACTGAGTGGGTGTTCTTTGCTTTGCATCATAAATGATACAAAAACGGAGATGAATTGCTTTATTTGGAATACTGCCTTTCACAAACTTATTTGTGGTAACTCCAGTGGAACATTTGACAACAAATACTATTAATAATACTGTGAGAGCTGAATTGTGATATAAAAAGAAAGCCTAGTATGACTGTTTGTAAATTTTAATAATGAAATCTACCTTTAATTTGCTATGGTCTTTTCTGTAGACATGATCTATTTACAGTAGTTGAGAGTTGTATTTTATGGATTAGGATGAAAAATGTACTGTTTAAAGAATAGATAGATACCTTGAGAACTGGAGAGATGGCTCAATGGTTGTTCTTACAGAATACTTGGTTTCAAATCCTCGCACCTACATGGCAGCTAACAACTGTCCATAACTCCAGTTCCAAGGGATCTTCTGTCCTGCACAGGGGATTGCATGACATGGGTGCACTTACGTACATGCAGGCAATACACACATACACATAAAAATAATAAATAAAAGATTTAATGTTAAAGAACAGAATAGATCCATTGATTGTAGAAAATGTGAAATTTAATATAGTGACTAGCTTAATTTAACCCAATTTATACAGGCTTATATGGCATTGGTTCTAGTGAAAGAACTCAAGTACCTCTATGGGAACATTTCAGTCCATAACTCCAGTTCCAAGGGATCTTCTGTCCTGCACAGGGGATTGCATGACATGGGTGCACTTACGTACATGCAGGCAATACACACATACACAAAATAAAAAATTAATTAATTAAAGAATAGATACTTTGGGGCTGGAGAGATGACTCAGCAGTTAAGAGAGCACTGGCTGTTCTTAGAGAAGTCTGGGGTTCAAATCCCAGCACCCACATGATGGCTAACAACCATCAGTAACTCCAGTTTGAGGGAATCCAACACCCTGTTCTATCTTCCATGGGTCCTGCACATACATACAGGCATAACGCACATACACATAAAAATAATAATTTTTAAAGAGAGAATAGATACCTCGATGCAGAGCATTCACGTTGAAAAACATTGCTAGAACCTTAGGGACTTCTGGGTGTCTCTCCCAGATTGCATTGTTCCCCTCCACCGAACAAAAGGCCACTTTCTCTTGATTCGTATGCTAACCATTCCCTTTGCTTTTACTTTTGTCTGCCACTTAGAACTCATTCCTAAGTGAAATAATTTTTTAACTGGGTAGCAAGCACAAAACAGAAAAATAAAGAGTGATATTGCTGGATGTGGTGGCACATACCTGTCATCCCAGCACTTAGGAGGCAGAGGCAGGCTGATTTCAGTGAGATGGAGGCCAGCTTAGTCTACATAGTGAGTTCCAGGCCAGCAGGGGCTGTAGGGAAATTATGATAAAAAACACCAAACAGCAAAACCATAGAGAGAGAAAGAGAAAGAGAGACAGAGAGAGAGGCTCTCAGAAGGGAGAGAGAGACTGAGACCGACTGGCAGACACTTTCAGAAGGTCAGCTGGCCCTGGGTCCCTGAGCACTTGAAGGAGCTTCTCTAGCAAAGTCAGGCAGGAGTGAGTCACTGCTGGGGCTCATGGTGACAAGGCTCTGGCCTGGACACAGTGTAGTACAGGTACTGTGTCTCCAAAGGGAGTGGACTGTTGAGCTTTTTTCCCCAGGGGTCAAAGCAGAGTGGGAGAACAGAGCTGAAATGAACGTCATTTGAGGCCCCAGAAACAGGATCAGGAGGAGAGGGCAGAGAAACCTCAGGACAAAGCAAGTAGAGACGTGAACTTTGGGCACGCTGCTGTGCCCTTTGGCCCTCAATGAACAGATGGAAAATGGCGGGGTGACCTTAGAGAGCATGTCTGTGCATATCTGTCAACCCTGCAGGTCCTCGAGCATTTTTTTTTGATGGGGGGGGGCTTGGGACACCTTCCCTCCATGATCTCCAGCTGCTGTTATGCTGTATTCTCTTTTTTCTTATTTACCATTTCATCTTGGTAGGTTACAGCCTTCAGTTAATTCTTGAGAGTATGCTCCAATTCTTGCTTGAAGGTTTGGCTAAATATAGAATTCTAAGCTGAGGATCATTTTTCCTTCTGACATTTAAATACATTTCTGCAATGTTTCATTGTTATTGTTGATATACCCTAACCTATACTGATTTTTGATCCCTTGGTATGTGACTTATGTGATACCCTAGGGCCCCTTCCCTACCCTTACCCCTAGGATTATGAAATCTTTTCTGTTTGATGTTCTGGAAATTTACAACCATATGTCAAGGGTATGAGTGGTTTTCATTCATAATGTAATGCTCTGTTCAGCCTTTTCAATTTGGTAACTCCCATCTCCCAGGCCTGGGAGTGTTTCTCACTGTCATTGGTGACTTCTTTTCTGCTCCCCTTTGTTTGAGTTTCCTTTCTGTTGCTGTCTGTGATACAAGATTATGACCAAAAACGACTTGGGTAGCAAAGAGTCTTTTGGCCTGCACTTCCATTCATAGTCCATCACTGAAGGAAGTCATGGCAGGAACCTGGAGGTAGGAACCATGGAGGTAGGAACCCAGAGGTAGGAACCTGGAGGTAGGAATCATGGAGGAGTCTCTTGCTGGCTTTCTCTCTAGCTCTTTCACAGGCTCATGCTTAACTTGTTTTCTTTCTTTTTTTGGTGTTTATGAAAAAGAGTTTCCCTGTAGCCCCAGCTGGCCTATAACCTGCTGTGTAGACCAGGCTAGCCTTGAATTCACCAAAATCAGCCTGCCTCTGCCTCCCAAGTGCTGGGATTAAAGGCATCTTGCCACCACATCTGGCTAGCTAGCTTTCTTATACATCCCAGAGGCACTTGCCTGAGGATGGTGCTGCCCAGAGTGGGCTGTGTCCTCTGGGACTGATGAATAATCAAAACCATCCCCACATACATGCCCACAGGCCAATCTGATCTAGGAAATTCCTCAATCAAGGCTTTCCTCTAGAGATCCTAGGCTGTGTCAATAAATAGTTAATGCTAATTAGGATACCATTCCACTACTGTTTTGTTTTGTTTTGTTTTTTGCCAGAACTTTTATTATTTGGATGTTGGCATTCCTGGACTAGACTTCTTTTTCTTCTGTTGTTTTTGTTGTTGTTTGCTTCTGCTGTTGTTGTTTGTCTCCTGTAGCCAGGGCTGACCTTGAACTTCTTACTCTCCAACCTCTGCCTTCTAAGTACTAGGATTACAGGCAGATGACAACAGGTCCAATGTGTTTTCCTTTTCTTTTTGGACTATGTTGGAGATTTTATCAATATTATCATCCAAACCTACTGAGTTTTGTGGATTTGTTTCATATTCTTACCTTTTGTGATTTCATGGTCTCTGAATATTCTTTTTTTCATAGACTTTTATATGCTGTAACATCTCTTATCTCTTTGAAATTTAAAAAAAAAATTTACTTATTATTTTGTGTGTATAAATGTATTGCCTATATGTATGTAAGTACACCCATGTCGTGTAGTGCCCAAGCAGATCAGAAGAGGGTGTTGGATCCCATGGAATTGGAGTTACAGACGGTTGTTAGCCACCATGTGGGTGTTGGGATTTGAACCTGGGTCCTCTGCAAGAGTAGCCAGTACTCTTAACTGCTGACCATCTTTCTAGCCCCAAGTTTCGAAGTTTTTATTTTCCTCACTACTATCTTTTTCCTCGAAGTTGCTTTTTTCTATTTGTTCTGGAATCCATCTTTAATGTAAGAGACTTGCAGCTTGCTTTCTGGTGTTCATTTTAATTGTCCACTCATGACTAAAGGGCTAGATCCAAAGGCTGAGAAGGTTCAAGCAGGTTGGTGAAGCCTTTCACCTGTGAGCCTCACTGTGGGATGCCCTGGGGACATGTGATATTCCCCTTAGGCAGATCCAACTGTTGAAAGAAGACTTTAGCAATTTTTGCCTGAGGAATCAGGTGTTGCTGGCAGCCTTCTTGGAACTGGAAATAGGGGTTGGGGAATAGGCTGTGGGTTTTTTCAGATGGTGGTCAGTAAGTAATCACTTACCTCCAATCCAGAGACCTCGTATTTCCCTGTTTTCAGAGACCAAGCTTCTGGATGACTCCTGAGGCGAACGAGGGGTCTGTCACTGGTGGCTTGGAGCCGCAGGAAGCACCTCTTATCAGACTTCTCAACCTTTCACATGCCAGCAGTCACCCAGGGATCTGGTAAAGGGGAGACTGGTGCAGTGGAGGGGGATGGGGTCTCAGACTCAGCCCACACACTAGGCTTTCTGCTGCTGTCCAAGTAGGATCCCACTTGAGCAGCAAGGGCTCTCTACCCGCTCTCTGACATCTTTTCACCAGCCCCTCCTTATTTTGGCTGGATTCTTTACCCATACCCACACCCCAGTTCTGAGGCTTCATGCTGCTGCCTCCTTTGAGAATTCTGTGGCATGTCTGAGGTGAGTGCTTAGCTTTCTCAGGCTAGCTCAATCTGTTCCTACTGGCTTATCTGCTTTCTGGCTTTCAGAATGCTGTTTTCTCTCAATCTTTGTGAAGGTATTTCTTTTAAAACACTGTTTAGTTTTGGGGGGTTTCAGAAAGGAGCAAAATTATATGTCTGTGTTGTGCCATGTAAACCCCTAAGTCTAGTCATCAGCTGCAGCATTTTAAGTTTAGTTCTATCCCAGTAAACAGAGCCTGTTTCACTATAGTTAAATGCTGGCTAGGCCTCTTCGCCTTTGCACTCTCTTCTTCCCCCTTCCTCCTTTGTCTGCCTGCTAAAGTCTCTTTTTAATTAATTATTTTTATTTATTACTATTATGTGTGATGTGTGTGTGTGAGCACGTAATGCTACATTGCACATGTGGAAGCAGAGAACAACATTGTGGTGTTGGTTCTCTCCACTTTTGTATGGGTTCTAGAAATAGAACTCTGGTCTTCACGTGTGCACAGCAAGCACCTTTA